TCACCTTGAACGAAAAAGGGTGAATACTTATCATATGACTGATTCACTGGTAGTCTCGAAACTCTACCTACATACGAAAAATGAGTTATTTGTAGCCAGCCAATCTCGACGTCAAGAGCCTCCTGGCTATAAACTGCACCCAATGCCTGCACCTTAGGACCATGACAATCTGACGAGGCTCGAACTTGCCGATCGTTTCAGCGACTTCGTCTTGCCTCACCCTTTGCCCAAAGAGAGAAAAGCAACGGAAGACTTTGGTATCTACGGCGAAATATTCGATTTAGATGAGTCGTGTGGTCTACAAGTTTGGCGTCGACGTTCATTTTGAATGAAAGTGTGTATGACGAAGAATACAGCGGATTCTACTTGGCCAGCAGTCCTTAAACTTTGCTCCCACTGAGGCAATGCCCTTGGATTCCGCCGAAAAAGTCTCCCCCTACATACCTGGCAGTATGTGCGTGTATGTGTGCCTGGCCTACCTTGCCAGTCACATTTTCCCCGTGACCCCGTGAGACAGATTAGTAGCGAAAATCCCGTTTGAAGGGCGGATAAAATGATGAGATGGGCTCGAAAATGCGGTACATGCAAAATGAGAAAAAACTTTTGGAAGCAAGTTCAAGTGAAATTCATTGAAATCGTGAAACTTACTCAAAATATTATCTGAAAAACTCTATCTTCATTGCTTAAATTACCCTAAGCTACTTGAGCCCTCCAAGTCTCTATTCAAGAATTAACGATGCACTTATATCAAATATGTACCAAAAATGGTCATAGTCTATTAGTGCTGTCCGAAGTTATTATAATTCCAAGCATCAGACTTGGTACATTCTCAAACGCTTCGCCGTCTCTTTAGGAATTATGATAACTACTATGGCAGAGGACTTCGGACTAGGTGCCTTCTACTAAGTCTGCCGGACAACAAGACCAAATTGCAACAACGAGGTCAACCCACTTCTATAAAGCGAAAGGAGATTGTGACCATACCGGAGGCCAAACCATCTTGGTTTTCATATATTCGAGAAGGTCTTCATATCTACGGTCACAGTCTCTTGTTAACCAATAGAGTCCCGTCGTAAGGCGAGCCTCTTTTTTCACCTTATCTACATTCCCTCTCGCGATTCTATGTCTGAAGGACCATTTCGGCCCAATGTGATGGAATCGCTTAGCTAAGCGGCAGCCAAGGGTCGTTGAACCAGAAGTCGTTTGGAATGCGGGTCACGATTCTACCGACTGACTCCTGTATTCTATTTGCGGCTGATCAAATTGAGGGCTTGGTTGTGGCGAGGGAAGAGGTTTCCACCTTCCAGTATGCCTGGCGAGAGTGGGCCATTCTAGAGGTACATTACAATCAATGTTGAGCAGGTACGAAGTATAGGCGGATGATGACTGTTCTGAATTAAGTCAAATAAGTGTCGTCTGATATCGCTTTTAGGTGAAGGAGGGCTTGACGATTGGATATTCGCAGAATAAAGTGAGTCGCAGGCCTTGAGGTGCCTCTACGTTTGACTTGTCCTCACTAAACTGCATGTTCGACTCCTCCTAAGTCTCATCGACAACCCCAGTGGTATTCAAAGCCGGATCTGTACCATTCCATCCCACAGTAACAGCACAAATACGACTTTAAAGGAAAGCCAAACCACTCTTTCTTCGCCCTTGTTGTAGGGCATGCTTGGATAAGGCAAGATTGTAATTTTCCTATACAGGTCCTCGAAATAACCTCTTTAGATTCAGCTGTGACCTTCTGGTGGGATCGACAAAATAAAATTCACCACAATAATTGTGTAATTTCCCTAATCATTAAGGACACTATCATATGCATAGTGAAGTTGAGATGTATTCACCCAATTTCGTTTAACGTGATGAAGGACTGGTATTAGAATTTTCCCACAATTATGCGAGTAGAGCTGACGTTTCTATCGAATTTGACATAGCCTTGCTCATCAACGAAATTGGGTGATTACATCTCATATTACTGATTTACTGGTAGACTCGAAACACTACTTACATACGAAAAATAAGTAACGCAGTCTATTATTATAGCAAATAGGAGTTTGCTTCATCTACAATCCCACCAAAAGAATGTGATATGGCAAAAGGCCTGGCTTTCCTTGACATTCACATTTGCCCTGTAACCCAGGGGCACTCGTGGCAATGTGGCTGACTGGTTAACGAGTCAAGCTCTCATTCTGCACTGTCACGGTTCGACTCCAGCTGAGGGTGTTGATAAGACCGACACGAGGTCGAAACTGCAGTCCATTGGTGCCTGGATGATAACAACTTTTGGGAAAGCAAGTTTATGCTAAATTCAATGGAAACGTCAGCTCTACTCATATCATTTTGGGAAAATTCTACTACCAGTCCTTCATCACCT